CAGCACTGCTCTCTGCCTGCATATATGATCAGAAYGTGGTGAGTGCTGCATCACTGAGCTCCTGGGAGCTCAGCTCTGTGGGAGATGAGATTTATTGTGAACCCAAGTAGTGTTTCCTTTAAGGCACACWGTCTCCCACTTACATATGTTAAACACCTAGTTAGAATCTTACCCAAATGGACAAATCCTACTGAAARTTAAAAACTAGGCTACTTAGTCTAAGAAAGGTATATTAAAAAGAGAGTGGTAAAAGAAAAAAAAAGACAAACCAACAACAATACCACTAAAGCTCATAAAGATGASTAATCAGATGTAAAAATTGYATCAGACAGCACTGTGGAGGATTTCACAGACACCTGTGTTATACAAGCTGAACGAAGGGTCTCAACATGTTCCAGTATGGATCTTTTGATTCCAAAGAAACCATAGAATGTTCAGGTTTTATGGTTTTTGATTATGTGGGAGCTAGAAATTTTAACACAGTAATTGCCTGYGCAAAGGACTGCRGCATGGTTGTGACTTTAAATTGGCMAATCCACCACAAGCAAGGACAGGGWTAAATTTTACATCTGTGCTCCAATGCCAAGCTACCCTGCAGCCCCCACTAGAGAGGGGGACTTTCCAGCATAGGAACTTTCTAAACTTTCTTACACTGAGCTGGAGGAGACCTACCTGTGCCATCCTAAACTGCAGGAACAGCTGGGCTCTAAGAGGGATGCAGGGGGTAGGGACTAAAGCACCTTCCCATACAGTCTCCAGTGAGATCTGCTTTGGATGAATCCAGGGTTTTCAAGCTTGTCTTTGAACCTGTTGGCCTGCACTAGAAAATATTTGGAACAATTGTTGCCATTGCATGAACTGCCTGCCAAACTTGAAGCAAAACATTTACAGTTTCACTCCCGGGCAACTTCATGGCAGGTGTACCCTTAAACAAAGAACGAGAACATCAGCCACTCTTCCAGTGAGGAAATTCCTTGGACATTGAGCTCTAGATCTTGACTCTGTAGCATTGCTCACAGAATATGAAAGGCATGCTTCGCCAYTTAGGTGGAAAGCTCATGAAGGCTCACTTCTCAAAGTGGTCTAGCTAAATCCACAAGGTCAATGTTTTTATGATCTCTTATTTGGGCCAAGCATGAATGTACACCTCAGCAGCCATGGCACAGTAGCTGAGTCTTACATGGAGAAGCAGAGGCACACACAACCGAACCAAGCCAAAAATGTTTCTTTGAGAAAACCTTACATAAAAATAAGCCACAATCARGAAGATCCTACAGGAAATGAACCTTTGATCAGTTATCAAGGAGATCATGAATGTCTGTTCACAAATCTAAAATGTCCTGACAGATTCCAGTTTTAATTTCTAGTTTTTATTATTAAATGAAGGCAAAGAATAAAGGAAAGCAGTGTRATTAGATGCATATGCAGACAACAACTGGCAGGGAATAATTTGCTACTGTTTTCATCAAGTCAGCATCAAATGACCATTCCCTTGGAATACCTTCAGAGAAACAAATAGGCARTAAACACAGGGATTTGACAACAGCACTCTGCTGCTTGTCTCTTGGATATTCATAAGTTACAAATCTCTTCCACCTTTAGATTTTATATCATTTGTTATAAGAAGACATAAATAATTGAAAGTCACATGATAAATTATTCAGCTTAGTGCGCAGTTTCCAAGGAATCATAGCATGAGTCTGGATTAAAGCTATAATGCAAGTCAGATGCAGAAACTGAGCTGACACCCCACAGCTACCACACAGTGGAGCAGTCCAGGGAGTTTGGCACTTGTCAGAGTGTCCTTTCCACCACAGGGACACATAAATATCTTGTGAATATTTATGAACTAGAAATCCCTATTGCCAACTGTGTACTTCAGCTGCTTGCCCATACATGGTTATGAATCAGTGACACTTAACCCAGAACTTCCCTAGGCACAATTGATTAGGACATTCATTTTCTTTAAGTGATGGCACTGTCCTTCAAGACTATTGCTGAGCTTAAATCTCTGTTGTAAAAGACTTTKTCTTTAAACATAATTACCTATTATAGTTAACTGATAAGGTACTCAGGGGGACCAGCATATAAGTGACTGCAGGAATATTACKGTTAGCTATAAAAATGCTTCAGTCCTGCTACTTTCTTTATACAAACCAAGTTACCTATTTTGGGTAGGTCTAGGTCCGTAATGTTCAGAAACAAACAGGTATTAAATAATCCRCAAACCACAACATCCTGTGTAAACTGGGACTAAGAAGCTTGCTTTTGCAAAGATGTGTCTCATGCATAACTGACTTTAGGGTCTAAGATATTAATTTTGGCTATAGTTTCATCCAAAAGAAGAGGGGAAATTAATAATCTTGCTCCTGTATAGATTGCTTAGTACATGAGAAAATTTGTTCATAGTGAGGAACCTCCCAGATTCTGACCTTTCTCTCTATGAGGACTCTTTTTAAAATCTCTACTCTGCTACTTTCACATAAGTTGCAGGGACTCCTGAGATAGTTAACCTTCTGTCATACTCTGTAAGAATCACCCAACAGGATCAAAAGTTCTTACACCAGAAAATACAATTTCCAAAAAATATAACCAGTTAGGAAGTTAAAGCAATAGGCAAGGAATGTGTCATACAATGCAACACAATACCATTTCACTATGGTGCACAAATGAACCATATCACATGGATGTTGCTCATCTATGATGATCTCAGTCAATAATCTTGATCCCATCCATACAAAGAACTGGAGTGAAGCATGAAGCTGGCATGCACTTTTTAGAAAGGCAGGCACTGCTGGCCTGAGCAGCCCTGAGAGTTTTATGTGRAATAAGTCTGTTAATTTGAGGCATRGCTGSCTGAAGTAATCAATCCTCTCTCCTTCCTAGCTGAAGCAACTCTGTGCATAACTTCACTCACTACAGTGAGTATGATCTTTGAGAGGTAACAAAATACAAGGAACAACCTAAAACTGTTTCTAGAATCATGCAAAAGCTTTGCTGAGCATGCTTGAAATTACATTATAACCATTGTTAGTCACTGCAAAACCAAAGAAGATATCTCTGAACAGCTTCTATACCAACATGYCATTTTTCTTGGGAATTTGTATTCTTATGGTTCATTTCTATGCTCTTTAACAGTGCTTTTGCCAATAGCAATTTTCAGGAAATTATCTGTGGCTGAGTTTACAGTGTACATAATATTTGTCTCMGCATGTTCTAGATCATCTCTGAAACAACAACAACAAAAAAAAAACTAGAATTCTAATTCTGCTCAGGTCACAGTTGTGTTGCTTGGGTGGGGGGGTGAGTTCAAAGGACCTTCAGAGCTGTATTAAAATCATTCTTTTTAAAGACTAAGAACCATAACCAGCTATATTTTCATTCAAAAGCATATAGAAACATAAGCAGCAGCCAGTTCAGTTCCATACATGATTATYTGAAAGCACTAATGAGAATCTGACTTCTAGCATATTTTACCACCATAGGAAACCAATATTTCTAAACAGAAGAAAGCGTCTACACTCTGTATCGTTATGCTACCTGCATTTTCACGTTCGACTGAGAAAGTTTTTTTTGTCATATTTATTTAGCATGAAAGTGATAGAAATTTGGAGGGATCGGATCATCAATGCTTGAGGCATGGAAGGAATGYACAACTGTGATAGGGGAGCACCCCCTTGTGATGGAAGGATTAAATACAGCATTACACATCAACTGGTTAAATAAATACTGTTGTATTGTAATGTGGTCACAGAAAGACTGATTAAAAAAAAGTTTAAAGTAAAAATAAGAAATCGTTTGATATTCAGTGTCTGTCCTGAGGATAGCCCTGCACAAAACACAGGCATGGAATGCTGCAGGCAGAAAATGTTTGTTCAAGACAGCCACTCAAAATTCTCAAGAAAAACAATTAAAATAGCCCCTTTAAAAGCTTAATGCATATTGTTTAATGAAATATTTCATTAAATAATATCTTTTTGAGAAAACTAAGGCTGTGAGAGAGTAAAATCCTTTAAACTTTCTGGGAAAAGCTAAGAGCTTAGTGGAACACTAACTCTAATCCAAGGACCTCAGAAACTGTAAATTGATGTGGAACGGAAACAGTTGATAGAATTATGTCTTGGCTGAACACTTCTTAAAGAAATATTGCCAATAATGTGTTGCCATAAGTAGCAAAAGTGAGGCACAAATGAATCATAAAAAGCTCTTTAATCATGTAAGTGCTCATTAATTTGTCCATGAATAAGGACCAATAAATCACACCCCCCCCCCCCCATTCAAAGGATGTATTTTGGGCTGAAAAGCACATTGATTAGATGTTTCTGACTTTTGACAAAGAGCTTTACAATTTTTTTTTTTTATAAAACAAAAATATTTACAGTTAAATTTCACTTAGTGTAAGTATCAAGACAGACAAACACAGTTCTATACAACAGGATGTCCAGCCACAAACCCAAGCTCAAACCCATATACATAAATGTCAACAACCTGAAAATGTTCTTTTGCCATTATAGCTTCAGAATCCCAAAGCATTTACCAGTTAAACTGTTGAGACTTGTTTAAATTTAGGCACTTTTAAAAAAAAATTTAAAATTGAGATTTGCTGGCAATTTAAAAAAAAAAATCAAACCTTCTACCAGTTAAATATACAGCAAATAGAAAGATGTTTCTGTACTGGAATTTCTGTAACTATTCCTTCTCAGGTTTTGTTCACACAGATCAGTTATTAGAAATAGGTCATCAATACAGTAAAGTTTCTTTGGAGACCCCTCCAAAAATCTGAGTCCTTACAGTAACATAGAATCAATTCCTGAAGGCATCCAATTAAGTGTTATCAAAAATAGGTCTGCTTCTACCTTACATCATCACTAAAGTTAGACAGTTAAGGCTGCAATGTAACACCAAACTGAGAGATGAGACACAAATACAGAGAAAATATCTACAATGCAAGAAATATGTTCCCAACATTTTTATTTAAAGCATGTGAAGAGTTTACTTACAATTTCTCTCCTTGTTTTGCTTTTCTGTCAGTAACCAAATACACACTTCCAAAGCTTCCATTGCCAAGTTTCTTCTGAATAGTGTATCTTCTTGCAATCACAGCATCTGAGCAAGCAGAATTAAATCTGACAACAGTGGCATGCTTAGCAATTTCTTGAAATTTCAGCATTTCTCTGTGTAATAAAAACTACACAAATTTCTCTAGTATGTAGYTTTCAAATCCTTTTATGGATGTTCACAGAAATCACTTGAAACAGAAAAAAAATTGATTTGTCAATACATTATTCTTATTAAACTTTTCATTTAATTCTGTGGCAGTGCTTATAGTACTCAGCTTGCAGCAAAACACAAATGAAATCATTAGCTGCTACACTGCAGGCAGCAGACTTTATAAACAAACTCCAGTTAATGTAGATGTGACATTGTCAGTCTTCCTCTAAATCAACCATAAATTAATTCACTGAACAGATAACACATTTGCCCTAGATATGGCACTCTTCCTCACCACCTGTCTTTACACCACCACAGTACCTGACACCAAAAATATCTGCATTTCAGGATACAAATTTCAAGATTTTTGTCTATACTGAAGCTTAACCTCCACACATAATTTGAGTTYTCTCCCACCAACAACTACAAAGCTGTTTTCTGTGCTCCTTCATTTACCCCTCAGTTTTCACCATCTGTTCCAGTGCTGGCCTCACTGCTTCCCTGTGACTCACTGCTAGTATCTTCTGCAAATTAGCTTCATGGCAAGTCTACAAGACTTTCAATAAAACCCAATTCTTCCAMAAGTTCATTTCTGCTTTGCTGTGTCCCTTCATGACTCACCTTTCCAACAATTAAGCTTTGGTTTGGAATTCTTGTCTAATTGAGGTCCCAATTCTGCAAACATAAGGACTGCAAAGGCCAAGCTGTAGGATTTCTACAGTTTTYAATGGCTAAATCCCACACTTCCAATGAGTTTGGGGTACTTTTACTCTGCCTTCCTCATTCCAAATGAAAAAGGGTAGGTGTTTCCCTGCATACAACAAAACAATATTGCTTTCATTTTTTTACCTTTATATAATGGTAATTACATCATTTTGCTTGAAGATCCTTTAGAGCAAGTAAAGGCCTTGCAAGTTCAGTGCTACTGTTGTTACCATCCATCAGCACTGCCTGCACGGCAGAGCACTGACGTTGCTCACCACATCACTTTAAGGTCAAGGCAAGCACACAAACAGGCTCTTTATTGTTGTAGTGGTGGGTTTGGAAGAGCAAAACCAAATTGTTTGATTTTAAAAGCTGTACAACTTTAGGTTCCAAGTCACTGCCTTCTCTTCCAAATGAATGCAGAGCCTAAATTAAGATTACAGATTTGTATCTTGCAATAACAAACTCTGTGTGTGTGTCTRTGTGTATAGGCACAAGAATCTATTTTCATATCCATCTGCTGAGATGCTGTCACACTGTACCAAAAAGCCTGACATTGCACTGTCACCATATTATGAAACACAGATAAACTTTAATTACTACAAGATATCTTATTAATAGAAATACTGTATTTTTTTTTTAAACTGCAGCACTCCTCATACTGTTCCTTTATCCTCTTTCAGCAACACTGACAAAAATTTTGAAATGTAAATGCTAAGGAAAGAATGTCAGCTAGAAAATTATTTCTCTGTTTCTCCAAATCTGTCTGAAGCAGCCTAAGTGGATCATGTTGAGGTGTGGGGAAGGGAGGGCAGAAATATTAACTCCATAAAATATTGTATTGCCTGTCCTATAAAGTTCACATAATTTTAATTTGCTGTTCTATTCTCCTAATTGCTGGTTTATGCATGCCTTCAGAAATTCCTTTAGAAATAAGTGCACTTAGGAAAACTGCTGAGCTATCTATAGCTTTTTTTTAGGTCACTTAACACAGCTCACCTTCAAATTTTCATACTTACTTGGKCCCTAGGAATTTATCAAATCCTTCACACCACAAAATCATGCACAAGATCAAGTAACTCAGAGTTTAACTTCTGTGCTTTATTTCTAATAATGCCTCTCACCTTTTATTCTCTATGCTTCAAGTTCCCTTTCTACATAATAACAGTTAATAATGATCATGCAACTTTTTGAAAAGCTTTTGTAGTTACTGTTGAACAGTGTTATAAGACAGGGGCCAGTGGTTGCCATTGTGGCATCATAGGTGCATTATAATGGCCCAGAAGAGCTGKATTGCTGAGCACTACATCTGAAAGAAACAGACCTTAAAGACTGACTCAGCCATAACACTGATGGATTCTTCTATCATTCATGAACCACAGCCTCTCCAACCTCACTCAAACMTTTAACCCAGCCTTCCTTGTGTTCCTTTCCTACCAGTCTCTGTCTCACACTGAAAAGGTATTTCCCCAGCAGCAGCATCAATTGTCTCATTAAAGTTCAGAACAAYTAGAGATAACACAAAGCAATCAACTGTCCAGCTCTCTCTTCCTAAAAAAAGTCTCAGTATACCCTATCCAGTAACTCTGGTAAACAGGTTCCTTGTCCCACCCATCATTCTCAAGTCCCATCCCAGAGACAGACAGACTGCTGGTCCCAACCAAACTAATGCAATTACATTATTTAGAACACTTTTGAAAAAGAATTTTCTTTTTTGGCTGGAAGAAAAACCTTCCTTTTTGCACTGCAAACGAAAGCAAAGTTGCTGGTAAGGGTTTCACAGTTCCACTCACACATGCTAAGCACAAAGCACCTCAACTTCTTTCTTGGCCTTCCTTCMTTTCTATAAGATTAACCTTCTGGTTTCTTTGGCATCAGCTAACATACTCGGACACTTTCTGCTTCCAAGATATTCCTTTCTTTGCCAATCAAGGCCATTTTCCATTTCTATCAGGTTTTGTTTTTACTCCTTAAGAACCACTGTGCTAGTCACGTTTGCCACTCCCAGCACAAATTCCAMAGTCTCTATATTTAAGCTCTAAATATCTTCAGTATTTACCGCCTTGTTTTGGTTTTTTGTTTTTTTTTTCCTGCCGATGATTTCACTGGCCTGCTCCTTTAAATTTTGAACATTCAAAAAATGAGATTTTCTTTGTTTTTTCCTTCATGAAAAGAAAAATAAAAATAACTTTTATTTTCTGCAGCATCTTTATACACTTACCCACGGCTAAAGTGACATCATCTCACTTAGATGAGTTTTTTGTTGCTCCTAGAGAAATGATAAGTAAGATTTCACTATTAGTGCCGGTGGCAAAGGAGCTTGAGGGTGATGGTAAAACTGAGTGAAATGTACTCTACTATGAAATTTACTATTTCCCTGACGCACATTCGGGAAGCCGAGGTCCCCCTAGGATAACCTCAGGGATGTTATTACCTTGTAACAGGACTGTGTAAGACTCAGAACACAAGTTAGCGCCCAGATTCCCTCACAGAAAGGGGCGAGGGTGGGCTCCCCGTTCCTCTCCCCCCGGGTCAGGCGGGGCTCTCCGGGAGCCGGCAGTTTCCCACCTTCCCGCCGTTTCCAGCCGCTCTGGAGCCCGGCCCGCCGGCGGGGAGACTGCGGTGCCTGAGGGTSCCTCCCCGCGTCCCCCCGGGGCAGAGCTGGAGCAGGGCTGGAGCAGGGTTGAAGCAGGGCCGAGCTGGAGCAGTCCTGTCGCAGGCCTGGCGGTGGCAGAGCGGCCGCGGGCTCGCGGCTGTCCCGGCCGGGCGCGCGCTGTTGGCGGCCCCGTCGCCAGGAGACGGCGCGCGCGCGCCCGAGCGCCGGCGGGCGGGAGGAGCGRAAGGAAGCGGATCCGGGAGCGGAGCGCCGCCCGTGTCACTGCTGGCGCCGCTTCCGGGGCCATGGGCGTCCAGGGSCTGACCGGCTTCGTGGAGGAGCGCGGCGTGTTCTTCACCGAGCTGCGGGTGCGGGACACCAAGCTGGTCATCGACGGCAGCAGCCTCTACCACCGCCTSTGCTTCGCCCCCGACGCCGACTTCCGACGCGGCGGCGACTACGGCGCCTTCGCCGCGGCCGTGCGCGATTTCTTCGGCGTCCTGCGGGCCTGCGGCGTSGCGCCCTTCGTGGTGCTGGACGGCGGGCGCGGCGCCGAGGACAGGAAGCTGCCCACGCTGCGGAGCCGCGCCGCCGAGCAGCTGCGGGCGGCCCACGGGCTCTCCCGGGGCGCCGGGGGCTGCCTGGCGCCGCTGCTGACCCGCGAAGCCTTCGTGCAGGCGCTGGGCCGGCTCGGCGTGCCCTTCGTGCAGTGCTTCGCCGAGGCCGACCGGGAGATCGCCGGGCTGGCCAACCGCTGGGGCTGCCCCGTCCTCTCGCTCGACAGCGACTTCTGCGTGTTCGACCTGGCKGGAGGCTACTGCCCGCTGTCCCACTTCCAGTGGCAGAGCGTGCGCCAAGCGGGGCCGCAGGGATGCTACGTGCCCGCTCGCTGCTTCTCCGCCGAGAGGTTCTGCCGGCACTTCGGGCACCGGGACCAGGGGCTGCTCCCGCTCTTTGCCGTCATGCACGGCAACGACTACATCGGCCTGGAAGCGCTGGAGGCGTTCTTCAGCAAGGTGCGCCTGCCCAGGGGCTGCGCGGCGGGGAAGGGCGGGAAGCACCTCCGCCTCCAGGGACTGCTGAGCTGGCTGGCACAGTTTGCGGAGCCCGCCGAGGCCGTCGAGAATGTGCTGAAATAYCTTAAGAAACACCAGAGGGAAGAAATAAGGGAGCTTCTGTGCACTTCGATGGAGGATTACGCTCCGTCTGATGTGAATCTGGAGGACTTCTTCCAGAACGGAAGGTATGAATGCGAGGCTGCAAGGAAAGCAGACGTACCAGAGTGGGTGCTTGATGCTTTGGCAAAAGGTAAGCTGGCCCCGTTCATCATCAATTCCCTGATACTTAGAAGTACCTTCCTCCGCGTTCAGGTGGAGAACATGCAGAGACCCAGTGCTCATTGCACAGCTCTGCCCATTCGACAAGTTATCTATGGACTGCTTCTGAGAGTATCTCAAAATACTGAAGATGCTTCTCCAAGTAAGCAGATCAACGAGCTCCCCACTGTATGTGAATTTGACAGATGCCAAAAGACAATTAAAAAAACATTTGTTCAAGCAGCAAGCCTACCCACAGATTTTTGTGACGATCGTTTTCCTTTGGACAAGTTAATGGAGGTAAATGGTTGTCAAGACAGATCACAGTTAGCAGTGTTTCAGGAGTAACAAAAATAGTTGGGACTCAAGTTTGCCAGCTGACCGCTAAATGTGATCTCTGAACTAAGCCACTTCAGTAAGTAACTACTTAATACAGAGGTCCCTGTGGTATGTAAGAAGCTACATAGGTTGTCTTTATCTTCTTTCCTTCCTGCCCCCCTTCAAGTGTACCGGAGACAAATTATGAGAATTTGTGTGAATATACAGTACTGTCTACGTTTTCTACATTTGAAGCCCTWATTTCATCCTGTGCATTTTGTGACACTAATACTTGATTTTTATAGGAAGGAACTCAGTTTCATGTAATTTAGGAAAGTCCAATTCAACACTACAAAACTTAATTTGTATTTGATAAAGTTACGGATGTTTCATAGCAATGTTCTGAAACAAAATCTGACCCATGCCTTTTTACTAAAAAWCATCATTATTTCTCGAGTGAATATTGCAGCTGCCCAGCAGTTTTACCTGCCTCAAGTATGCTCCTGCTAAACCTCTGCTGCTTGCCAGACAGAGCAAAGCAGCACCTGAAAAACAGTTTGTAATTACAGAAAAATACTAGGTTAGTTCCAGTCACCATTGTAGCAATACTGTGTAAATTCTAATAAGACTGTAACTCTTGCCATAATGGGAAGTAAATCTGCCATTCTCAAAGTTGCATAACTGAGGTTTTGTATGCAGTAACTTCTGCAACGTCTAGAAATAAAATCTGTGTCTTATTTCTGCATTTTTAAGGCACATGCTCTATCCATTCTGGCGCTCAGATCTACTKTTAACACATTTCTGTGTGGGCAGTGCTGAATGTTTTCATCACTTGCTGGTGGCTACTGTGTAAAGGAACAAGTGTATCACTGCTATGCCTATTAAATACTACAAATAGCTATGGATCCAAAGTACAGGTTACTTTACATAGGTTATTGGTACAGGCCTTTTAAACAATATGCAACTCTTAAGAGTTTGAAAAATTATGTTTTGGGTTGTTAAGAGATATTAATGATACCTTACTCCAACCTTGCTGTGTCTGCTGTTTAATGAATTTGAGTTTCACTACTACAACTTTCCTTAGTAAACATATGGGAATTATCCACTGAACARAAGATTAGAAGAAAAAATGTTGTTCTGCATTTGAAGTGCTCTAGGCAAAACTGGCTTCAGTTTCTCTTCTGCTATAGGAGTGTCTGCCTAATAACTCAGCAAAACAATCCTAATCAAGGTTTATAATGCAATCAAAATGCAGTTGAACAACCTAGTTCAATTCTGCTGCAAGCATGAAGTTACAGGCAAAGTTTCTAACACCRCTTTCTGGAAGTTAAATGGCACAGCAAAGAGGGAACATGTGCAAGGAACTCATTACTTTTGTCTTTCTACCCGACATATAACTGTGTAATTTTTAAAGTTTTAAGTAGTATTTTTAAAATATTTCCTGTTCAGAATATCTATGAAACTTAGTAATTTTTATCAAAAACCTGAAATGCTAGCTAGTTTAACCAGGAACTTACTTGCYTTTTAGAAATTGCTCACAACAAATCAAGTCTCTTACCTCCAATTTTTAAATTTATTTTCAGGTGCCTGTGTCATGCCGTCAGATGCTTTTGCTGGAGACACTGGGAGTAAAAATGACTTTCCTAGAACCTGTCCCAAGTCACTTGCAACTCTCTGTTGCTGTTACATGTTACTGGATACGTTGCTCAGAACCAAAAGTCAAGCTGAACCAATTAAAGGCTCTACTTCTAATGATAATATCTGGAGAACTGCAGAGGGTAACTGATGATTCAGGTATGTTTACAAAGAATAAAATTTTAGGTGTTGAGCTGCTACAAAAATCTAGACCATAATTCATTTTTGTGYACTTATGGTGAGTTGTCCAAATTGAGAGGAATTAGCATTGATCTATACTATATTCTGAGGTGTCACACTCTTTGTATTGATATGCACAAAGAAACTGCTAACCATCAATTYAACATTTAATATAGATAAAACAGTACTTTTCCACCTTTTGAAACATTAATGTGCATTTATAAGTGCTTTCTTTAGGACTGAAATATTAATTTAGATCTAAAAGTTCCAAAAATAACTTTTGGAAAAAAGTTTTAACAAAAAATAACCTTAACATATTCAGGCATCGAAAAACTACTACTGAAGCATTCTGATTTTTTTTTTTTGCTTTTGCATYTTTCTAAAATCATTTGTACTTAAAATGCTGAGTTGTCCAGGCACACTTTTTCTGCTTATGCATTGCAAATTTGAAATTAAATAATCACAGAAATTGCTTCAGTARTATTTACAGCTGTTAGAGTTACAGTGACATTTCCTCCAGGAGTCCTTCATTTGGTGGCAAAGATCATACATTCCCAGGGTATGCAACTTCTTTAGGTTCTGGGTTGTAGAAACTTGCTGGACAAAGTTTCCAAGTGGGTTGAGTGAGACGGAAGTCTCGCTTGGATTTGATCACACTCAATCAATTAGACTGGAAAAGACCTCTGAGATCATCGAGGCCAACCCATGACCAAACACCACCCTGTCAACCAGACCATGGCACTGASTGCCACGTCCAGTCTTTCCTTAAAACACCTCCAGGGACAGTGACTCCACACCTCCCTGGACAACCTGTTCTAATAGCTAATCACCCTTTCTGTGAAAAAATTCCTCCTAATGTCCAACATAAATCTCCCCTGGTGCAACTTAAGGCCATTTCTCCTTGCCCTATTGTTACCTGGGAGACCACCRCACCTGGCTAGACTTTCCTTTCGGCTAGAACCAGGGGTCTGAAGACTCTGTACACTATTGATTCCTTTTGTACTGTTTAGAACAGCACATTTATTTCCATGTTATTTTTTATTTATAACCTAGATCCCACAGTTCTACATGCTGAAGAAGACAATGTTGCATATAAGGAATTTCTAAAATGGAAGGAAAAGAAGTTGCAAAATAATGACTTTGATTTAGATGCTGCACACAGTTTTTGCCAGTGGCAATGCTGTCTTCAGATGGGATTGTACCTCAACCAGCTACTTGGCACTCCTCTCTGTGAACCAGACCTAAGTAGGTAAGGATTTTTCAGATATCTGCTTTCCACACAAGCCCCTATGGAACGTGTTCACAATTTCATTTTCTCTGGCAAACTCCTTTGGCTGGTACTCAATAAGAACTCASTTGGTTAAAGGATTTAAATATAGATAAAAATACTTATGGCATAGGTGTCCCTTAGGAGTTGACTGTTGGACACCATAGTTTTTTTTTCATTAAGCAACATGTTTCTGTATCTGTCCTGTTGAGGTGCAATTCTAAATTAAAATTCTCTCCTTCTTTTGAGCAGGCTTTACACTGGGACCCTTGTGCACAGACTGTATCAAGAGCTTAAATCAGCACCTGCAGTGGAGAACCTGTTTACTTTATCTCCAAAAATGGC